AAACTGGATCAACATTAATCCTTATCGACTTACATCGAATGGCTTTTAATTTTCTGAAACGGGTCCAGCCGTTTTTGAGAAAATGTCGACGAAAAAACAAAAATCGGACATACACAAACACATACACTGTTTCAAAATTTGGTCTTATTCGATTCAGCATTAAATTTCCTTCGGCGAATTAAGAATTTAATCCTTTATTTTAGCACATAATGCATAGCGGTTTTTATATTTAAATTGTTTTCGTTCAATAAATATATCTTTTGTTCGATCAAAATAACCAAAATATTACTATGCTAAATTGTGACTAGTGCTGAAATTAAACCACCCCTCTTTTTTAACTTCCGTAAATAGTTATAGTAATGGGCCGAAAATCGAAAGTGATAATTTTTGCATTTCTCCACGTTTTGAAGGTTTCTGAACATTATGGCATACCTCATAATCAGAAAAATGGATGTGAGTGTGTGTGTGTTTTGTGTGTCCACATTTTTTCGTCCACGTTTTCCGGCCCACAGATCAACCGATTTGAATGGTTCAAAAAACATTCGACTTCTATTGAAAGGGAAATGTGCTGTTTAGTTTTTGGCAAAGGCAGGTCCAACCGTTTTGGAGATACGGGGCAAAGAGTGCAGAAAATAGTAATCGAGTTTTTGGAAAAGGTAGGCTATTCAGCCATTTCGAAGATACAGAGTTAAATGTACAGAAAATGGAAGTTTTTGAGAGAAATAAGCATCCGATTTGATTGATTCAAAAAACTTTCTGCTCGTGTTGACGAAACAACTTTTTATATTTTTTGTTGTATATCGAAAATAATTCAGATTTCAATTTTAATTCTGGTTAAAGTTCTAAAGCTCACTTATATACCTTAAGTGAATAATTTTAACTTTGTTAAATAATTGCAACTCGAACATTTCGTTACGGTACGAAATGTTCCAGCAATTTGCCTTACGGCACGATGTCATACACCAATAGTTTAAATCTTTTGAAACTAAAAACAAAGACCAACTACTTCATCAATGCATAAAATATTTCAAATGTCGAAATAAACTATAATTCGCCACCTCAAAAAATCGTCTTCTCTGGTTAGATGTTTTGCCCATATGAATATAATAAAATGTCTTATGTCTAAGAATCTCGTGAGACACACAATTTGATTAAAACCGATCAAATACATGTGCTTTTAACTTGAGGCATATAAAAATATTTTTATTAAACTGATATTATAAATGATAATGATCCTTATGATGTTTATAATAAAATATAATGTACTAAAAATAACAAATATATTAATTATTTAAAATATACATTTATTTCATTTATGCTTTTCTACTACGTGAATATAAAAAGCTGGATTCTGAATGGCATCTATTGGTTTAAAGTCTCCATAGATGGTATATGTTGCACCATTTCCGAAGATCTCTTTCAGCATTTGCTTGAAAACCGATAACCGATGAGGGTAGTAAGATAACCTGAATTCACTAAAATAAAAAATATCAAATCTTAACTTTGTATCAAAATGACCTGAAAACTCATTCCCATACTCCAGAACGTGATACTGACAAAGGATTCAATTCAATATCGACTTTAAGTACCAAAATTCTAGCAGAGAATAAAAGACCAATAAAACAGTATATGTGAACACATATCTCACCTTATATCTTTTTATTGCCTGATTTTCCATCTGAAGTATCGATCATATAATCTAATGAAACCAAAGCAGGTTCTCCGCCGACAAGTAAAACTGATGTTTTTATGTCTGCTGTGTGAGTACTCTGTAAATAAAATTCACATATGTGGATAATAAACTTTTTATTTTATTCAATTCGAATAACGGATTTTGTTTCTTATTACACATAAGTCAATGCAGTAAAAAAGTATCTACTTTCGCCAGAGTAAATTCAATATTTTTTAAATTTCGAATCAATCTTTTCAAATTTCAAATTTCAACTTTTTATATAGTTGACAATCTCTGCTCTTTGTTTTATCTAACAGATTGCAGAATAAATTTAATTAAAAAAAATATTTTGTGCTTGAAAATTATTTATAAAATATTGTTTGTATAAGCGAATCAAATTAAAATACTTAGAATAAGATTAAATTCCATATTTTTTTTAGGAAAAAATTGCTTGATGGCTGTAGATTTCATCACAACTTGAAAGCCTAATTTTTATAGTGACTACTGTTACAAATTTACCAAATTTTATTTCTATGTATCTTCTACTATACTTACGTTGTAATATAAGCATTTCGATGGCGTACTTCCACTGCTGATGATGTGATCGTAGTTCCTGTGGTCAATCAGGAGCAGACCACCAGGCTTGACGCATTTTTCGAAGTTGCGCAAGGCTTGCTTTTGCTCTCGTTGGTCCCCGTACGAGTCCATCATGTGAGCAAAGGAGTTACCCAAACAAATTACGGCATCAAACCCACCATTTTTCAACATTGGTGCAATGTCATCGAATAGCGTCAACCAATTTGCTTCTTCAATAACTAAATGAATAATAAAATATATGATAATTGTAAATATCAAATAAACTGTAACAAAGAATAATAATAATAAAATGGTTCTGATTCTATTATTTATACAGCCCAGCACGCCTAAATAGTGGGACTAAATTGCTAATAGTCAGAACATTAAGTGATCTTCTAATCAACTCCATCGAGTGACCAGATCTATTGGTGCTGGTCTTTAACTTGGTATACCATCAAAATAGTAGTTTAAAAACTCACCCCAGTTGTCAAAAGCGCGTTCTTTCCTGCGTTCCCATCTTGATTTTAGAGCATATTTTAACATTTTGTCAGAAGCGTCCACAGAGGTAACATCAAAACCTTCTTCCAAGAGCATCACGGAATCTATCCTGTTAAATAAAAAAAATCATTTTATATTATTGTCCTAAATGAGATCAAATATTTGATTAAATTGGTATTGTTTTATTAGTAAAAGTTAGTAGAATATCTGATCCATACTTGTTTATCTGATTATACTTGTTTATCTATGATCTGATCAGTAAACATAAAATACTGACCCTGTTCCACATGCTACATCAAGTATTTTCTTACAGCCACGTTGTCTAAGTAGACCAACTAAAAAGTTTCTGTAGTGATCAGTCCTAGAGCGTTTGTCGCCAATGAAAATTTCCCAAACCTAAATTAAAACAAAAAGTTATTTTTGTATTATATTTAGATATTTTATTAGCTAACTAAATTACTGAAAGATCATATTTCGATTGTTAAAATATAGCAATCTAAATTGATTAAGCTACGAAGTCATTCGCAATAACTGGGTGACAATTAAGACCTCAGTCACGAAGATATTCTCCTTAAATACAGTTTTAAAAACGTCTAGTGAATTATAAATCAGTGGCCAGCTATCATAAAAGAATATTGTCTCTAAAGAACGAGGCAACATAAAAGACGTCCAACACATTTATGCTACATAAAATTTTGTTCATAAAATTTTTCCTGGAAAATTGATTCGAAGTAAAGGTGACATAAATCGCGGAATCCTAGTCCTATCTCTATAAAGTTTTTCCTGTGGGATTATCTCGAATCAAAAGTTTACACCAGTGGACAAAAAATAAGACAATATATCTATCACGAGTAGCAATCACATAGTATTTGCCAATCCGCCATAATAAAATTTAATGCTTGAATAAAGCAGCATTGTAACAACTACAGTATAAAAAAGTATATAGAGTTATAGTATGATTTTGAAGTACAAAATCCTAGAAATGAAAATAATGTTGTAAAATCGAATATATTTATAATTTACGGCATTTGTTATTATAATCAACATAATGAGAAAAATCATTATCAAACTGTAAGCAATCGACGTGCCTTTGAATAGTCTTCCAAGTTATCAACATAAAAAATGCTTGATTAGTTTTACTAGAAAACGAATTTATTAAAATTATTATATTATGAGCAGCAACCTTACCAATCTTTACTGGAAATGGAAATTAGCTAAATTAGCAAGTTCAGCTGCTTTTATTATATTACTATTATTATATTTATTTTATGATAGGGCCACAATGATTATCTCATAACAATCGTCTTATAGGGAGCTTCTAATAATTACGTGATCGAATTTTTAAGGTTTTTTGGACCGCCCCCCCTCCTCTTTTTTTGAACATGTGTGAATTTTATTAAAAAAATTCAGATAAGAAAGAAATACAAAAATACCAAAATACAAAAATACAATACAAATATGCAAAATACTTACTAAACCCTTTTCTCCTCTACATGATATTTCGTAATTTTTTGTAAAAATCCGCTCCCCCTAAGAACATCATGTGTATAATGGACGCCCCCCAATAAACTAATAATAAATTTCATTAAGTTAGTTTTTTGTAGTCTATATAGCGGATATAACTCGGACCTGTTAGACTCCGCCCGGATATAACGACTGCCGAATATGACTCCGGCCGGATATAACTTCGGCCGATTATAACTTCGCCCTGATATAACACCAGTCAAATATGACTCTACCCGGATAAAACTCCGGATATAACTCCGTCCGGATATGGTTCCAGCCAGATATGACTCCGCCCGGATATAACTTCGCCCGGATATTACTCTTCCCGGATATAACTTCGAGTTTTTCTATCTAAATTACTCTGCATGGCCAATTTTCTTAATTAATTCATTAAATTTCGTGTATTTTTAGTTACGAAAAAAAAGTCAAAATTTAAAAAAAAGTTTTTAAATGTTTTAATTTTTTTAAAAAAAACTCAGGTAAAAAATAATTACACGTAATATTCATACCAAACCCTTTCCTGATGATGATTCCTGGTGATGTTTTGTAAAATCCCCCTTGCCCCTAAAAACCTCACGTGATTAATGCACGCCCCTTATGAATAAATTTATTTAAATTTATGAAATCAGTACAGAAGTTTCCGAGAAAACATGAACATAATCAATGAGGACAAAATTTACTTTAATATGCAAACCTCCATACACAAACATTTATAATTTTTGTATCAAACGCTTCAAAACAATTTGAAACTCTGAGAAAACATAAAATTACTGAACCTGATTTTATGAGCAAAACAACATTTGAAAGTTTATAATCAAACGTTCATTATGTGCTTTGTATGAATATTAAAATTGTGAACTCACTATAATATTTATTAAAGTTGTTTTTAGTTAAAGCGTTGATAATTATATTTACATTTCATTCGATAATATTTGTTTGTAATATCGCAGAGAGTTCTCACGACTTTATACTCACAAATTATGTAAAATTAATTCAATTCGCTTAGGAATAAAAATCACGGTATACAGTTCAGTTTATCGAGAAACGTTTAAAAATTAATGCTAAATATGTGTATTTGACTTAGTTGCATGGTAACATATCATACAAAATAAAAAAAAAAATATGTGAAAATTATGTGATATACAAAAATTATGTTCTTATATACCAATCCATGTTTTATTAATATATCGAATTTAAAAAAAGTGCTCTTTTATGGATATTACTATAGAATATATTTAACTAGTTGTAAGTGGCATTGTGCCTTAAGAAAAGTTGCATAAACTTTCTGATACTTGTAATGAATCGATTTTATCAGTAACAATTAGAATTTGCTGTTTAGATCAAATGTTTGCTGCTTATATCCAAAATAAATAAAATCATTCATTCATTCAGTATATTATCTGCAACTAAATAAATTAAATTAATTTTTTTAACACATTTCATTTTACCCATATCGGACTTTAAAACTGTATGCTGTATGAGTACGTAACCTGTAATCAGTAGCTACCTACGAAACAGCACAGGACGTACAGATGCTTGGGCAAAGATTGTGATTAGAATTGCTCAATCACGAGTGGCAAAATTATAATTTAACCACTCATGGTAGGTCTTTGATAATTTAGTATGTTATTTAAGTCTAAGAAACTTATCTTCTTTTAACATTTAATTATGAAAAAAACGCCCTGGAAGATCTGTACCAAAAACTAATCAATGCGATTCCCAACTAATGTCTTTCGAACAGTTTTGAATTATGAAAATCAGTTCAAGATTGTGGGCTAAAACAAACATTTTTTTACACTCTTCTGATATTTACAAAGAAAAGGCTTGGCCAATCGCGCAAAACTGACCAACCGTGGTCCTTATCGAGATACATCGAATAACTTTTACATTTTTGAAATCGGTCCAGCCGTTATTGAGAAAGCGTCGACAAAAGGTGAAAAATAGGCTCACATACATACATACACACACATGCTTTTCAAGTTTGAAACGATAAAGATTTGAAATGTCGAGTAAATTTAAAATTAGCAAATCAAAGTTTTTCGCAAAAACCAACTTTTCCTCCGAGAAATGAATTATGCAGGATTAGGTTTATCATTGCAATTTGCATTAAATTAATACCTTAGCGGCTTTTCCATCGGCATATTGATCACGAACACCTTCTGCCGCTGCGCCGAGCGATTTTGTGTGAATCACATTTTCGGAATCTCCCATATTTCTAATAATATTCTATATATGAACAATAAATTCGAACCAATATATTCAATATAAAATTAATCAATTATTAATGATTTTTTAAAGTACTTCTCGACCAACCTTTAATTTTAATTAATTTCCTAAGAACGTCGGCGAAGTACTAACCTACAGTTTTGACTTTGGGTGCTCTATTACAGTCGATGTCGTATGATGACGTTGATAGATAAGAAATCTTGTTTTTGAATTAATACGTTCGTGAGACAATCAGTAATATTTAGCGAGATGTTATGTGCATAAAAAAATGATCCGGATTTATTTTCAGACAAATTTTATATTTTTTGACCTTTACTTATTGGATAATAATGTGCATACTCATGGACACGAGAATAAAAATATGTACATATATCAGAAGACGTACTCACATATGTTTATTCTGAAGTCTGAACGTTTGATATATAAACATCCTTTATTTATGAGACCAATTAAGAAATATTAAATATTTTTGTTTTCCGTGTCATATGGAATTTTTTCGGGTGTTGGTTTACATGCAGTTTATTTATCTCAAAAGATTTGAGATTACTTGCAAAATATCGTACAGCATAATAAATGTGTGAATATTTTAATGTTTAATTTTAAAATGCGGTATAGTTTGAGAAATTTTATAAAATATTTCATTAATTGGTAAAGAATTGGCATAAAGTACTATACAATGTTAAATTTGCGAAGAATCGAATTCAGAAGCTAATTCTCCGGTAAAGAGGGCGTTGTTATGGCAAAGTTATGTTACGCTCCTTTTTTCATATAAATAGTACTAAAATCTGTCAAAATGTTATATACTTCGTATACTATACACAAAACCTAACTTCATATATGTGTTATAAATGCACATCAAAAAGATGCAATAACATTGTTTTTTAACATTAGTGCGTTAAGTTAGGTTTTATACCTAAGGTGCCTTACTGCATAGCAAATACATAGCATTTTGACAGTTTTTACTACCATTTTATATGAAATGAAAGAGCATAACATAGCATTGCCATAACAACGCTATGTTACGGTCAATTTTGTCAGAAAATTGGCCTCTCAAAAATCTTAGTTCTGCAGAACATCAAAACATCGGATTTTAAAATCGTTGGAAGATAAGACTTTATTATTTTAGGATGGCGGTAAATTGACCTCTCAAAATTCTTAGTTATGCAGAATATCAAAACATCGGATTTTAAAACGTTTGGACGATAGGTCTTTAACATTTTAAAATTTTTGTTTAGATCATAAACTCTATCGTCATGTCAAGTATTGTTAAAAAGACAAAATAATTTTTACATAGACCTAGAAAGGGTCTCTCCAGTCTTTAATGCAAACTAATGCCTTTCGAATAGTTTCTGAATTTTTAAACTCTGTTCGGGATTTTTAGCTAAAATGTGGACTAAAAATGTTGCACCTTTCTGGTAATTTATGAGAAACTAATCAAGGCGAGTCCTTATTGAGTTACATCGAATGGCTTTGAAAATTTTGAAATCGGTGCAGCCGTTTTGGAGAAAATATGTTTGAATAAGCACACACTTCTTCTAATCGCAGAGAAAATATAACATTATTAAGTCGGATATTCTAGCAAGTACATAAACTTCTTCTTAAGAATTAAAAAAAAAACTAAATATTGAAAATATTTTTAAAAAAATTATATCAATACATGATATGTTTTTCATTCCTTTATTACGCAACAAATATATTTTCATTCGATATATAACCATGAGAGCTTTAAAATATTATTAATGCAGAAATCAAAAATATTTTGGCTCAAAGGGGAAATGAATAGAATTACATCCGTTTTATAAATTGAAACGGAAATTATTTGAAAATATTTAAAATGATTGAAATTACTTTTATATTTTATTTTAAACAGTTTGTCAATAGGAAAAGACCTGCTTAACGCTGCTTCGTTTAGCGCTATTTTGGTTTATACGTGTTTTAATTTCTTTATACATATTCTTCAAAATATAGGTAAAATTTTGGAAAAAATAATAGAATTAAGAAAACAAACCAGGTTGTAGAAAAACTAGTTGTAAAGTCTTATCAAAAGCAACTACTCTTTCTGATGATCACCTGAAGCAATTAATTGTGACAGAACAAAAATATTGATGGTAGTAATTTCACAGAAAAGCTCAAAAATGTCCCAATGTTTGTAAATAGCTTTATTGAAATTTGTTGAAAATGACCCAATTTTTCAAAGAAAAAAAAATTAATTACATAGAGGTAAGTATTATTGAATTCAAAATTTACCTAATATCACTTAGGTTTTTAGATATATTTTTAAATAACTGACTTTTTGATTACGTTTATTGGCAAGCTTATCAATATATCTTAACATTTTTTAAATAGAAATGAGAATGAAATATCCTATGAGCTATTTAGAATAATTCATTCACTCGCACACACTTAGAAATGCACATATGAAATTATTGTGCTGATTTTAAATATCAATAGTTGTTACTCCAATGAGTGATTCATTAATTCTGTTAATTTCTCCAAAGGTGTAATAATGATAATGGTCTTTTTTTATTATGCATTGAAAATTGGAACCTTTTTTACAGTCTTCTAGAGATTAGTGTCTTAAGAAGCTAAGTGATTAGATAATTTGTATGGTCTTCCAGTTTAAGAAAATATTGAACACTGTTTAGTTTAATTACTCTATCTAAAACTTATATATTAAGATTTCGTGTAAGGTGTTAATAGTGACGAACTAAAGAGCATCGGTGTCTTAATATCATAATATGCTCACGAAAATTACGATTTCGTATTTCAAAGCCGAATCATCATCAAAATCGTAAAATTTCTATTTCGTCAAATTTTAAACGCATGTTTAGTTATATTAAAATTAAAATATACTTTTTTCAATCACAAACATTATTTCTATGTATTGTAATCTTGGAAGTACTTGAATCGGAATTGTACCTACTATTGATTTACAGCGTGTTCAAAGTTATGTCATTTGTGGTTGTAGTTTGAATATTTGTGGCTCTAATGGGGGTACCCAAGGGGTTTCTTAGAGCTTGATCAAAGTACAGGTTAACCGCTACACGGCCATAACATGTATCTCATTTAGAAACTTCAGAGGAGTGCCTGACCAGAACTGGAATCGAACCATCGACTAAAACCGAGAACAAAGCTCGTTTAGTGGGTATATTAAGATTATCTTGTTTACTTCGGATCAATTATTATTGTCATATTATTTTGATTTTGGTTTTAGGATTCTATATTATATGTTACATTAGAAAATATATCACCACATGACCAATTTGCTAAATAAAGACACACCTTATTATATTTTTTGATAGATTTGCAAAAAAATGCACTGAAGAAAATCATGTTAAATTTAGGATTATATTTTTACACGATTTTTCTTATTATGAAATTATTCAGGATTTCACCATTTTACAATTGCGATTAAATACGCCAGCTTTTGATGAGACCTTTCCAACATACTTTAGTACACATTTTTAAAGGAGAGTCTCTCAAAGTAGTTATAATAAAAAAAATTGATTCTTCAAAACTGGAGCAACTATGTCACTATTGTTGACCGTAGTCCGAGAAATGTTATTTTGGGTTTTGGATCGAAAGTTTAAATGGCCAAAATTAATGAAAATTAACCAAAAATATAGGCACAGTTTCACCTAAGTTCTAGGTTGCACTTATAAAAGCTAATCATTTTCAACAATAACTACGTAAATTTTTTTCATGATACTTACGCCTTGACATTGAATTCTGCAACACCCAGTATATTATAACGAATATAACAACTTCTGGAACAAAATTCAATATATTTTATTTTAAATAGAAATATTTTTATTTTTAACTTTTAATTATATATTTTCCTACTTGATATTCCTAGTTTTTTCTTTCGAAAAAAAAAACAAACTAAAATACATTTCCAAGTTAAAATAGCCCTTCCCTAGAGTTGCTCTGTCCAATTAAAATATATATCTTCGGTACAGGCATGGTACACAAAAAATTCTATTAATGAAATATATCAAATATAGATAGACCAAGTGTTACTGTTCAACAAAAAAAATATTGAGATGGGCCAATAACATTTCTTTGTAATGTTAAAAACATCGTAGGTTCAGAGCTATTGTTTTATTCTAATAAATGTTTGTTTTGTATATTTTTCGAAACGCTACTTTTAAACGTTACTAATGTAAAAGAATTTATTGGTGTCTGTATTACTGTTACCTGCATATACAATATTAGTATCTTAGTAATATTAGTCTAAACAGATTATCATATTTAAGATTAACAAATTCGCTTTTATAGACAAACGAATATCTAATGTTTTTTTATAAACTTCATTTACTATTCGGCGTATTTGCTATCAGTTTATTAAAAAGATTCCCACATCGTCACGTCAATTAAATTACCACTAATTATTAGGTACAGTTTTTTTATAACAAATATAGAAAATAATTATTGAACATATAACTCTTATATCACATTAACTATTATCTTTCCTAACGAATATCATTAAAACTTAGTGTTTTGTTTGCGGTCCAGTTATTGATAAGAGAGGTCAAACAATTTTGATAACTTGTTTTGATCGTATTCTTGTTTAAATAAAATTTTAACTTTACTTGTTTACTCTTAAAAATAAAAATAATTTAATTACAAGAATTTGAATAGAAACTCATCTTCCACGGATATTCGAATTTTGATAAATCTTTTTGAAGTTTGTTAAGGAAAATTTCTAAGATTTTGATAATTATAAAAATATAGTAATATTGTAGAAATAAATGAAAAAAAATGCAAAAAACAACATATCATTGTTTGGCATTGAAAACATTGTTACAGAACTGTCACCTGCCAAAAATGTCATTTCACTTTAAATTTGAATTTAGATTAAATACAGAGCCTAGAAATTATCAGAATACAATATATATATACATGATTATGAATAAGAAAAATGTATTGTCTACATTATTATTGCCAAAAATCAGATGAGATATGCAAGGAATTAAAATAAACGAAGATACATTATATGTTTCGTAGATGAAAGTATATAATTCAGTTGGACAGATTTTTCTTAACTTTAAAAGACTGTCATGTTTTGCTTACTTTAATAAATTATTTCAAAATACAAAAAAA